GGATATTCACTCGATTTCTCATGAAGCGATTTCCTTATTTTGTTGTAATTCAAAAACGAATAACTGTAGATACATGACAATTTCACTGAATATTTATATTAGCATTTTCTGAAAATATTTTGACTCTTTTTGAGCTGTTTACGGATATTTTCATTTTTCAATTTTTTTTAGTTTTTTTGCTATGAATATCAATAAAGTTTTATCTGTTGGGCCAAAAAGTGTAAAAATTTAATACAAGGCTCCTGATATATTGTTACAATATCAGTTGAAAAATATTAAAAATACATAGGCACAGTTTTTTTTATAAGCATTTAAAGATCAAATTTTTACAAAATGTATCAAAATCTCGAAAATTATCTATCATTGTAGTTGATAAATTATAAAATGTTCAGTTTTTATAGCTAAGGATTGCAAATTTAAAACAAAGGTTCTCATTAATAGTTCATACTGTAACCAAAAAATCTAAAAAATATATGAACAGTAATTTTTTACAGACATTTTAAATTCAAATTTGGACGAAATTACATATTAAAAAACCTAGAATAACTATTTTAGTTATTTTGTTGTGATTGAATAATGTTATTCGTGGGTACTTGAAACTTCTAAAGTGTACTATTATATATCTATGATAGTATTACGGTTTTTATTGATGTATAACGCGTTATAAGTACCTAATGGATATTGTGATATGATTAATTTGGAATTTATAATAGGTAGGTACCTATTATAGGTCAAATTTTGGTTTAGTACCATAGATATGTATATAATATGTCTTATACCTAGACTGACATATCGTCTCCGCTCAGAATCGTTTTTCTTATACAATGATATTATAATATAACGATATTATCGTTGAATTCAAATTTAATATCATCCATTATACAGTGACCCACTTGTAACCTACTGTACAGCAGAGCGACACCCATTTGCCCACCTTTTTTTAATATGCATATTATAATTTACAAACATTTCCAATAATATTTTTTGCTTAATACCTTTATAGTTTATATTATATATAATAATATATCCTTAAATAAAATATTACCTACGTTTCTATTAATATTTTAACGATATGTAAATAATAATAATAATAATAATAATTATTATTAGATTTTACAAGTTTTACTTAAGAGGACGCTACCCATACATGTGTGGTCTCCGTCTTACACACGCACGACATAGCAAATTGCCGTTCACTAGTTTCAATAGTATGCAGTTAGTTTTGATACTAGAGTGAATTAACCTATTATAGCATATTTAGATAATAACATTATCTGTGCTTAAGCGTAGGCGTTTATTCGATATTTTAATTTTCAAGCGAGATATGAGCATTTAAATTTTTGATATTTCACGTACACATATCTTACTTGAAAATGAAAATATTATTCTTACCTAATAGTATGATAATAGGTAAATTCACTCTAATATTAAAACTAACAACACACTATTTAAACTAGCGAATGGAAATTTGGTATGTCGTGCTTGTGTAAGACGGAGACAACAAATACATGGGTAACGTCCTCTTAATATACAGTATTTAAAAGATTATAAAATAAAAATATTTCGAATGATCGATACATCAACTAATAAAATAAATTATTATTAAACATAAAGGTAGTTAATGCATAGGTACCTCTAATCAATAATCTTTTAAAAGAACTATTAAAATATGTTGTTTCACATCGTGATATAAAACAAAACAATATTATTGTTAATTTTCAATATAAATGTACTGTATATTAATTTTTTTAATGAAAAGTATACCTATATTATATAAGTATAATAGTATATTTGTAATTAAATATTAGTAATGTAATAATGATACACTAATTATGATTTAAAAATGCCATGTAGACATGTGGTTGTCAGTTATATTGTAGTCTGGGGTCGGGAATTTTTTTCAGGGAATTTTTAATTCTGTTATTACCTATCTCTATATGTTATAGTGCATAGGTATACTATACAATTGTGTATAATAATACAAAATAATTTATATCATACCGACATAAATTGTTTCCTAAAAACGAATACAAACAGACAGCTTATGATAACTTATTATTTACCATATTTATCATAAACATTATAAAAAAAAAGTTTAAATAAAAATTTAAAAAAAGGTGGGTAAGGGGATGTCGCTCTGCTGTACATTAGGTTACAAGTGGGTCACTGTATAATGGATGCTATTAAATTTGAATTCAATGATACAATATCATTGTATAAGAAAAACGATTCTGAGCGAAGACGGTATGTCAGTCTAGGTTTAAGACAAATTATATACATATATATGGTATTAAAAAAAAAATTGACCTATAATAAATTCCAAATTAATCATATCACATTATCACAATATCCATTAGGTACTTATAACACGTTATACATATACATCAACATCAATAACAAACCCTGATACTATCATAGATATATAATAGTACACTTTAGAAGTTTCAAGTAGGTACCCACGAATAATATTATATAATCACAACAAAATAACTAGGTTTTTTAATATGTAATTTCGTCCAAATTTGAACATAAAATGACTATAAAAATATACTGTGATTGTATATTTTTTAGATTTTTCGGTAAGAGAATTAACTACTTACGTAGAATCATGTTTTAAATTTTCAATCCTTAGCTATAAAAACTGAACATTTTATAATTTATTAATTACGATGATTAATAATTTTCGAGACTTTATTGATGTTTATTGATATTCATAGAAAAAAAAACTAAAAAAAATTGAAAAATGAAAATATCCGTAAACAGCTCAAAAAGAGTCAAAATATTTTCAAAATTGTATGGTGTATAGGAAATGCTAATATAAACATTCAGTGAAATTTTCATGTATCTATAGTTATTCGTTTATGAATAAAAACAAAATAAGGAAATCGCTACATGAGAAATCGAGTGAACATCCAATGTTGTAAAAATTTGAATTTCAAACGCTCATAAAAATTTAATTTGACTGTCCGGTAGAGATTTTTTTATTGATAAAGGTAGACAAACTTATGAGTAATCTTGTATTACATTTTCAAATCTTAGATTTAAAAAGAAAAATTTTTACGAATTCTTAACTCAAAATAATTTGCTAATTTTCGTGATTTTTCCATATTTTGTCAATTTTTGAACTTTAAATGCTTATAAAAAAAAACTGTGACTAACGATTTTTAATGTTTTTTATCTGCCTTTGAAACAATATACTAGGAGCCTTCTATTAAATTTTCAAGTTTTTTTAACCAACAAATAAAATTTTATTGATATTTCTAGAAAAAAAACTAAAAAAAAATGAAAAATGAAAATGTCCCTAAACAGTTCAAAATAAATCAAAATATTTTGAAAATGTTATCGTGTATAGAAAATGCAAATATAAACAACCAGTGAAAATTTCATGTATCTACGGTCATTTTTTTTAAAGTTACACCAAAAACCAAATTCAATTTTCTGAAAAATCGATTTTGCGTAAAAATTCCCGTTTTTTTTTTGGGAATTTTAAATTTTGACCTCCCCAATGCACCAACGATATTCACTTTCCAATCGAACAAGATACTGAAGTTGAAAATCGAAGTATTATTTCGACTACTTATCGTGTACACAGACACAAAAAATATAAAAAAATAAAAACACACATCATTGTAAAATCAATACATTCATCGTTTCACTCAGAATCTAAAATGAAATAATTACATTTTTTTCCAAAAAAAAAAAAGGAATACAGTTGAATTTTCCAAGATTTGTTAATATTATATGAAAGAATTAAATAATTTATTTTGAGGGGGCTATTACAAGTTTTTTTTTTTTTTGGGGGGGGGTGCCCCCAGTCCCCTCTATTTGCGCTTATGGAGCGCAGGGAAAACATAAAAACATTGACTTTAGGCGCATTTCTCCTTAATCCGGCTCGTGTTTTATTATAAATAGGTAACACTTTACACTTATAACTATTATTCCAATTGTTATACATTTATATTTTAATTTTTGTACATTATACTAAGGTTACTAGTAGGTACATAATAATTAATGCATACCTATAACAAAACTGTATATATTATTTATAATGCCATTAGCTATTATACATGAAAATCTATTTAAATAATAAATACCTATGTAAATTTAATAACTAAGTGCCAACCTTTTGTAGTGGCATATACGCATTATCATTACGCATATTACCATTGACATGAAATAAATAAAGAGCGATTACCTTTACCTACATAGGTATTATAATTTACTTTTTGTGTTATTGTTGTCTATAATTAACTACTTTATGAGCTACGACGGTACCTATGCATTGTTATACTGTTTACTATATTTATAAAATAAGTATGTATAAGTATAATATTAATATAGATACAAAACTTTTATTATTTAAACTAGGTATCTAAAGGTGCCAAACACAGCTATAGCTATTTAGTATGTACATCAATTAAAGACAATATTGGAGGTAAGCTACTTGATATTGTAAGCGATAAACTAAAGAGAAAAATGTAATAATAATTCTAAATTTTTAACCACAGACTAGAATTTGGTTTTCAAAGTTCAGAAAGATGTGATTTTAGAAATTATGATCCACAGTCCACACTCCGTAATTTTATTAAGTTTTAAAAGTGCCAAATATTAGGTGATACAATTGATAACATATCAACTGTAATTATTATAATATAATCAATGATATCATTGCTATCAGTTATCAATATATTAATCGGATCTCTTGAGTCTCAAGTGTCGAGCGCGAAATCGGAAAATGGAAATATCATTCAACCAATTACCAAGGTGAAATATTTGTTCCTTATAAGGTGTTCGTAAAATTATATTACATAACTTTTTCCGTGTTATTTAAATGTTGGTTTTCAATGATATATTTTAATAAATTTTTTTACGATATAAATGTTTTTATTAAGTTAAATCACTCGTTTTCAAAATCGTTAATTAGCGTTCATCGTTTGTGATACCTACCTACCGATAAGACGTGTTTGTTCCATATAATTAATATATTATAATATATTATAATGGCTAATACTGGATTGTTGATATGTTCGAACCCATTTCGTTTGCTTCGCATATTTCCACAAATACAACGCGATGTACAAAGTACGCTTTACGTCCATTTCTTTCCACTTCCAATGCCGGATAAGAAAACTGTACGACATCGATTCATGATGATAGATGCTTACAAAAATCTAAGTCCCATGAACGTGGATGTTCGCATCCTTTTATGTGGTCTCAAGGGCACACCAAACTCACAGATCACTACCAAACGACCAGTAGATGTGATTTTTTATGACGACCATATAAAGTCTGAACAACTTCATCATGTGATGTCGTCATTAAGTAACAAGTCTCCTAATTGCAAGACTGTATTTGTACAACCAAATGAAGCTTATAGTCCAAATGATACAAAGGAAAATAACCAATACGATGAAATGGAAACTGAACTGTATGAGAGTGTGGTTTTAGGTGGAACTTTTGATAGACTACACAAAGGCCATAAAATATTATTAAGTACAGCTGCTCTGAAATGCACTAAAAAATTAACAGTGGGCGTAACCGACATTTCCATGTTAGATGATAGTAAGTTTATATTATATTAATAAAATTAAGTAATTTATTGGATTAATCTTACGTATATATTATAAGCAAACGTTAAACAAAAACATAAATTTGTATTATTATTAAAACCTAATACTTGTCGTTTTAATACTGATAATATCAGTAGGTAAATTATTTTAAATCATAATATTATGCAAAGAGTTTTAATTATTTCACTAAAGACACAGTATTAATTTAATTTTAAATTTTTAAATTTTCCTTTTAGTTCAATACAAATTTAATAAATGAAAATACATTTTTGATATCATTACTGCTATTAACTTCAGAACAATTAAAAAGTATATATTTTGTTAGTTACACAATGATTATTATCAAGCGCGGACTGGTAAAATAGGGCACGGGATCCTACACAATTTAAAGGGCAAATAACAAAAATTATTGGGGCAAATATATCTAGATTATGTATAAAATATAAATATATTTGTTTTGTTTTGTTTAAAAAAAATATTGAATATACGTTAAAAACGTAAATAAGTACCAAGTCACAACTAACTTTCAATCAAAATTGTACAATATTATAGATTATTAGTAATCGTAAGTGGATAACAATCTGCTGTTCATTAGGTGTCTAGAGTCTTTGAATATATAATTAATAATGTTAGGCAAATATATTTTAGGGCCAGGGATGCTGTAGCATCCCAGCCTGTCCGTGCCTGATTATTATGTAACATTATAATTCATGTAACTACTACCAGTATCTTTTCTATGTAAAAGTAGGGTACATTTTTTTAAACATTACATAGAATTACATAGAACATTACATTGAACTGTTGTTTATTTTGTATTAAGCTAACTATGTATTATTGATTATTATTTAATACCATACCTAACCATAGAATTGAGTGCACTTCTATTTAATTTTACAGCCAAAAAATTAAAGGAACTTATTGAACCTTGTAATACTCGAATAAGAAATGTTGAAGGATTTTTAAAAGATATTGATCCAACATTAGAATATGAAGTATTGCCTATTTATGATATTTATGGTCCAACAATTCATGATCGTACATTTCAGGTTTTCAATTTCAATTTTATAATTGTATTTGTTCGTTTAGTATTTTTAAATTTTATATTTTAGATGATTATTTTAAGTGAAGAAACTGTGAAAGGTGGAGAGTTAATTAACGAGAAAAGAATTCAAAACAAATTAGAACCCCTCGATATAATACCTGTGCCATTATTAGAGGAAGATAAATCAACAAGTGATTGTTGCGAAGAAGAAGAACAAAAAATAAGTTCAAGCAATTATCGCATGCGATTGTTAGGTACACTCTTAAAACCACCACAAGTAAATAAAATAAACAATTTGAAGTTTCATGTTTTATTGATAGTTTATATTCAACACTTGTGTGTTTAGCCAAATCCTAATATACCCTCATGTCCATATATTATTGGATTAACTGGTGGAATTGCAAGTGGTAAATCATCTATTGCTAATTATTTAAAAGATCTAGGAGCTTTTGTAATTAACGCTGATACTGTGGCACATAGACTTTATGATATAAATCAGCCTGCATATCAAGAAGTCATTGATGTGTTTGGTCCTAGCATACTGACTACAAATAACGAAGTAGACAGAAAAAAATTAGGTGACATAGTTTTTAATGACAAGGTAATTGTTATGTCAATATTGATTAATAATATTTCTTAACTATTGTATGTTATTATTTTTTTAGGCTAAACTGGAACAATTAAATACAATAATTTGGCCTTTAATTTTGCAAAGAATAAAATCAATAGTCCAATCAACCAAAGGTCATAATATAGTTGTATTAGAAGCAGCTGTTCTTTTAAGGGCAAATTGGCAATACCATTGTCATGAAATATGGGTTTCAATTATTCCAAAAAAAGAAGTAAAACATGATGCATTAAATAATAGTTATACAACATTTTTAAAACCTTGGATGCTATGACCTAACTGTTAGGACTTAAGTTTAACTTTATAACATATATTTTTTTAATATTTGAGTATATTGGATAAATAACAATCTCTCGATTAAATAATAAATAATAATTATTTAAATATACCTCTTAGAAAATTGTAATAACATTTGCTGTATAGTCTAGATTCTAATTAAAAAAAAAAAGTTATAGTGTTTATATTTTATAGGCTAATACAAGACTTCAAAAGCGCAATAATTTGAGTGAAAAACAAGCGGAAGAACGAATTAAATCTCAACCATCAAATGACGAATATGTTAAAAATGCAAATGTTTTATTTTCGACATTGTGGAGCTGTAATTTTACTCATATTCAAGTTAAAAGAGCATGGAATAGCCTTTTAAATAGAATTTCTAGTAATCACTGATATTTTTCAGGTCTTATAATGTTTTATTACATTTATTGAAAAGGTTTTGGCTTATTTTATTAATACAATATGTATACTGTTTAGATTTATTGGTGAAATGTTTTTTTTTTTTTGTTATCTTTTTTTAATGACTAATTATTCATAATAAAATGATTATGTAATAAAAAAAATAACATTGCAATATTGTATTTAGAAATTTTATAAAAAAAAAAAAACACGAATATTATAAATGTAAAGAAAAGATGTAAAATAGTAGTTGAGAAAACGTCAGCATAAAAAAAATTAACATACATTTTATAAATAGCTGATGTGCTTTCTATGTGGTGAAAGAATATCCTAATAGGTTGATTGTTTCTAACTTATCATAAACTGTTAATGCTTATAAACAATTTACATTATATTTTATTTAATTTGATAAAATATTATATTATATTACCAATATACTAATTCAATAAGAAAAAGTTTGATAAAGAAGATTAAAATTGGAAATTGTCAAATTATTGTCACCTTGGGATAAATTTAAGAGTTATTTTAAATACTTGTCGAGTGATAACTATAATATTATTCTGTTAGAATTTGAGAAATATATTATTAATAAACACTTCAAAAAATAAAGTTGCCTAAATAATTGTTTTGTAAAATTGTATAAAATTGTTGGAAGACAATAACTTTCACAGTAGCTAATTTTTAACTTTTAATGTCTTTTATAATAGTTTTGTAAAGAAAATAACCACTAAAATTTAATATTGTTCAAAATTAATTTAAAAGCAACAAATGTTCCAGTTTTGTCATAACACCTCCTCACTATATAATTCTTTTTAGACTATTAATTTTTTTATTAAATTAAATTTAAAATATGGACAACCTTGGAACGTACTTTTGAAACATTATTTAATAACTCACTACTCACTTGTTTATAACAGTTTAAGATAAAATAATTAACAGATTTTAGTGTATTCCTATTAGGTACATCATATTTTTAATAAATGTACCAATCTGAATTTTTATTATCTGTCATTGACTATTACGATAAATTATTTTAATTTTGTTTTTGATGGTTTAGGTACTTTAAATTATGACTGAACCAAGAAATTTGCTAGGCTAAACCAGTGTGAAGAAAAATGCACCGGGATGTTTGGATTATGTTATCATTTACATCATTCATTATCCCGGTGTGGGATAATATGTGATTTTAAACCGGTTAAGTCTAGCGAATTTCTGTAACAATTTATAACAATGAGATTTATAAATGTAAAAATGTATCAGTTTTCAGTAGTAAAATTGAAAAGCCATAAAATAAATACTATTATTTTCCCGTACTACAGGTCTATGTAGCCTACTTTCAAGAAACTCAAACACTGTACTAATATTTACATCTTAAAATCCAAATGGGCTTGAAAATTGTTAAAATGACAAGTAATAATTAATTCAGCACCTACCGAAACCCAACACCGCACATTAAATCGATATTTAAATGATCAGTAAAATTTTCAATTTTGAAACTCATTACCTAGGGTTTACTATTGATTTTTTTTCAGTTATTGGTTTGAAACTGACCGTTTGATCGAGTCCATTGTGGCATTGTGTACAGATAAACGGCTCAATATTATTATTATGTAATTCGTAAGGCATAAAATCATGAAGATTAAAGTTCTTCAGAGTACTCTAGTGTTCCATCGAGTCACAATGTAGAACAGCTCTCAAGTCTCAATAGAGCACTCACAACGAACTTACGGATGCGGCATTGTATAATAATCTGTAAGGCAACACAACTGATATTTTATAATTGTAAACTGCAACATCATTGCGAATGTCTTATACTATTTTTCACTCTTGTCTAAATGCGCTATAATGCTCCTGTGAGTGAGAACCATAATTTTTCTCTCAGTTATGTTGACATAAAAGTGTATGTTTAAGGAAGGCAGGAATGCCGAATCCGTAAACGATCAATATAAAAACAAAAGTGTTATCGAGATTCGACTGTAGGTCGCAGTTTCACTCACTTTATCTATTTTCTATGGTTTCACTCGCCGCCATTTTCACTGTTCATCACGGACACGAATCCGATCACAGGCCACATCCAACAATCATACTCTATGATCTATTATCCCGCGAGCAGCATCTGTTCATGTGCGATGTGCATGATAATGTTATACAGATAAAATAAACTTTGTATTAATTGTATTTTGTATACCTAATATTAATTAATTTGTCCTACTGAGATACATAACAACATACTGTTGCGCGGACTAGTGGAGGTGGAGCTTCCTAATTGCTAATTAATTGTATTCATTATGATTAATGAGTAATGACCAATGGCGGTATGATACCACGACCATAATATTATAGATCTAAATCTATACGGCCGACGTGAATGATTCCTTCAGGGCAAAGGCTGAAAGTACAATGATACTATGATAGTATGATACGAAAAACACGAGCGACGGGCCGTGTTAATCATGCCATCAAAGAGTACGTTCGAGGTTCGACACGACGTAGTTCCACTGACTATGATACCATCGAATGCCGCTACCCCCACCTCGGAAGTATTAGATCATAATAATTCATGATTTGTAGGTAGGTACCTATCTGGTCCTGGTGTATTATAATTAATAATTGAAGACCGAGCTACCAAAATGCAATAATTCGATACCGAACGCCCGTAAGTTTAACGAGAAAAAAAAATCAAGATTTTTCAAAAATATGCTTTTTATCCCACATTTGATATACATTTTCTTCCATATTTTGAGTTATATTTCTGGACTCTGGACATATTATTTTATAGCTCGCATCAATCACATCCAATAAATGTTGGTTTAGGCCATTGGAGCACTTAGCCATGGCACATGAATACCAATAATTATAACACTTTTGCGGTTTAAATTAATTTGACTTCCTAATTTTTTTGTGAAATTATATTAATTACTATCAGTAGGTGCCTATAAGTATTGCGGACGCAAATTTAAATGGGAGGTACCTTGGTAGTAAACTGGTACTTAACTCGTAGGACAGGGATCTTCAACCTTTTTTTATGGTGGCCGGTGGGCCAAATTTGAGATACGCGGGCCAACATTTTTATGTACCTATGACTATTATAAGCTGTTATGAATAACATCAAAAGAAAACATAATAAATTCACTTTTATTTAATTAATTCAAAAAATTAAAAACAATGAAAACTAAATGAGAATAATATATTAAATATATATATGTTACGGTAAATGATGTAAAACATGAAAATTACGTAATTAACCGGTAATTATCGTAAATATATATATAAAATGGAGATTTTCGATATTCGCCGGTTATTTGCGATATTCACCAAACTAATTGGTAAATGTTATGTATGATACTAAAATTCGATTATAACAACTTTTATGTTTTTCTGCTGCACAGTTTTACATTAGGTAGATTTTTAATATTTCCGCGGCAGTAATGCGAAAGCAATTCCCGCGGCGCCGTCGGTTAAAACTGAAAAAAAAAAAAGATTTTTAATATCTATAAATATGTTTATGAGCAAGATATCTGATACCTAAAGATTAAAGGTATAAGTAATCGATAATAAAGTTCAGTTTTAGGACGGGGTATCGAATATTCTAGAACGTGCAATAACGATCGTAATGACCTGCGTCAATTGCCGATAACGTTTTGACGGCCCATTACGTCTTTCTGACAAATACACAGATATCCGAGATCCGACAGTATTGTAGACAGTGTCATCTACTCATCTGGCCTGTATGTTGTTGGATCATTACCATGTGAAAATAAGTAGTTAATAATAATATATGATACAAGTACAACAATAACCATTTGTATAATTTTTTATCGTAAATTCCCGGTAATTGACGTAAAAATCTACTCATATAAATTTAAAATGGATATTAACGATATTTACCGGTAAATTACGTAAATTATTATTTTTCGTCATTTACCGTAACATATATAATATATTAAATATATTATTCTCAAAACATTAATAAATTAGCTTGGCGAGCCGGTACAAAAACCTTGGTGGGCCGTAGGTTGGAGACCCCTGTCGTAGGATATAAATACTTGAAATTTGACACTAACGTATGTTCGTGAGAACACTGAGAACTGTGTTTCAAAATTGAAGTACAAAACTAAAAGTACATTTTTTGTTTGTTATGTCAAGGAAATTTATGATAAAATATTCAACAATTATTGTTCCACCTTCCAAGCAGGCAGCAATATCATGTAAATATACATACTTGTTAGGTACTTAGATAATTATTAATACTATTTTCAGTTTATATTTTAAAATATATAAGTAATAATGGTAATGTGGCTAAGCACTAACTGATCTGCCTATTTCGGAAAAAAAAAACTGCAGCGGAACTCATCTGAGATTTAATGTTAATGCAATACAATTTTCAACTGACAACAGCCCCACTGATTATTATTATAAAATAAATTCTAAAATAAAAATATTTTTATATTTTAAAGACAAGCACAATTTTTAGCCAACTTTTTTGGGTTATTACGACAGAAGCAATTTTAATTTATTATTAAATAGTCTTAATCTGGGGAAAGAATTTGTTAAAATACCGGAAATTTGGCCATTACTTTTAAACAGAAACAATTAATATAGAATTGTATTGCTAGTTGTAAATTATATATACTTCAAGTCAACATTAGGATAAATAATTTGATATCAAATTTGACATACACGATACACGATAATTTATCATTATTTTTTTCAGTTAAAAAATATAATGTTTAATGTTAATGTTACGGTCATTCAATATTTTACTATTCGGTGATAGTATTACAAAGGATTGATTAAGATTTTTAATCGTGGATGTAGGTTAAAAATCAACAGTTGCTGCACATGGGTTAATAAATATCTTAATAGATAAAATATGAAAATAAAAATATTTGTTATCTATTAATTTTCTCATGGTACAAAACTGTAGCTATAAAACATTTTGTAAAGATTTATATGTAGATTAATTAAGAAAGGAACTTTTTATTTTTACATATTAGTTTAATTTATTGTTAACTGTCAGGAAATTAAATTGTTATATTTCTATCACATGTCACAAAATTTGTATCACAAATCATTGTTACGGATTAATGAACGGAACACAGTGACTATCATGCTGTGAATAGCTGTAATTGTATATTTGTATGAGCTATAAATTTTATAAATCTATAAAAATTAAAATTAAAACTTCTTGGTTTCAGCATATTTGGAGTGCACTGAAATTCAAATTTTTTACACCTGTTACACCACATTAAAGTATATAATTTTGTACAACACTAAATACCGCATAGTATGCAACTTAAATATTGTTATTTAATGTATATTTTTACAAAATACTTTAAGCATTGTTAAACATAAGTAGATCACGGATGGTCAGCTCAAAGACTTTAAGTCCAATTAATTGAAACCCGAACAATTGTTTTCACAGCACATAATTAATCATATAATACTACATACTAAACAATTTGAACTTACAAAAGACAATACGGAATGAGCGTAAACATAGGGTTATTAAATAACTTTTTCCAAGCTAACTTCAAAATAACTAGATAGTGGAAAATATGTTTGAAGATATTATTTTTAATTTCAACATTATAAAAAAATAAAACAATTAAAAATAGACAGAAAAATTTGCAGGTAACCTGTTGGCCATCTCTAGTATATTGACTCAAGTTCTGCTAAAAATTAGTTTAATGGAATGTATTTTAATGATATTTAGATACATAAAACCAATTTCATAATTAAATATTACAGTACACGGTATTAGATTCCTGAGCAAAGATGATTTATTTATGTGGTGTTTTGACTAAAATCAAACTATAATGATCAAATCAACATTCCTCTAGTGTTATCTTTTTTCATTGTTTGATGTTTATAAAGGGAAATATTTTTGAGATATGGAAATGTTATTTGTTATTTTGATCTTTAAACATGAAGTTTTGTGTATACATAAAGTTATTATATGAATGCAACAATGTAAAAAAAAAACATTATGAGATGAAATTATACTTATAAATAACTGCTGTAAATATTTTTTTTTTTATTTTACAATGGACACTAATGTTTACTTATTATGTCACATTGAAAATTTCATGAAAAAGATATTATATTATTATATTCAAGTTACACAAACCAATTTGATATTTAATGTTTGATTTTGGTAAAATCTATGTAAAAAAAACTTAATTTGGAGTTCCAATATAACCATAACCTATGTTTAATGTTGGTTAATAAACAAAGTTTGAAAAAAATAGGAAAATATGTTTAATAAATAAATATAAGACATAATTGCATAAACAGCCGTCTAAAAAAATACATGCCATTTGCAAAAAATAAATAAAATTAGACGTTAAATAATTAATTAATTAAAAAAAAAAACAATAGATGTCATTTTCCACTAAACTTTATGTATAAATAAATAAGCCAAGTATAATTTGGTAGTGGAGAGTAAAATGAATTTAAAATCAAATTATTTAGATTTTTATAAGTACAGACAATGTGAAAGCGAATGATAAACAGCACCATTATACATTTCAAAAGCCACTCAATCCAGCTTTTTAAAGGTATGTGCAAGGAGAAGGAAGATGGCTGCTGCATAGTTGATACACACTCGCATATATAAATATGTAAGTAAGTATATATTAATATTATAGAAGGTGCGATAATTAAATAGGTTTCTAAAATTATATAGTAAAAATTATTTCTGTAAATAATATAAATTCAATTTGTATCAAATACTTCCACCACTTGCAGTTTGGCAAGAGCATAAATGTAAATTATTGTAGAAAAGCTCTTTAACTACTTTCAGCAATCTCTGAAAAAGAAATAGCAAATTTGTATTAATTAGTTGTGGTTTATAAATTATTAGAACATATTATAGTTAAATAATTATTACATACCAGGTATAGCAGCAGCTTTACGTTTTTTTAGTTCATCTTCACTAATACGATTAATTGAAATAATATTATGTTGTCCTGCTCTGATTGGTTTGGCTAAAGTGTTAAATAATTAGATTAAATAAACATAAAAAAAATTCAAAATTCAATTTAATATTAATATGTTGATAAACTTACCAATTTGTGGACTAGGTCCTCTGCGAGCTAAATTCTTTTGTCTCACTGCATCTTTAATACGATCTACTTCATATTGATACCTTTTCCTATCCCTCATGGCACCTTCTTTAGCATCTTTCAATGCCGATTCAAGTGCCTAAGAAACAATATAAAGGAAAAGTATCATCAAATGTTATATTCAATAATTTGCAGTTATCAACTAAAACTAACCTTAACACGGTCCATTGTAGCACGTAATCTTTTTTCCAATTTAGGTAATTCACATCGTAGATCTGCATTATCCCTGACCAGTTGTTTGTGGACTTTGGTAAGTTGATCTAAATTATTCTCCAGGAAACTAATTTTTTGTCTTTGGGCTAATGTTCCTCCACTACTGGCTTCATCTGTATCTTCAGCTGTAGCTGATTTTTTCATGCGAGACTAACAAATAAATACCATTTATACATCCATTCAAAAAATAATATAACTTCTTTAACATACTTGTAAATCTTGCACAAATATTTTACGTAAATTATGTAATGTTTGTAGTTCTTTGGTAACAGTATCTTCCAAGCCTTTGAGATCTTTACGTGCTTGTTCACGACGCTCATTGGCTAAAACATATTCTTGAAGGCGTTGACTTTTTTCTTGATCTTCTTGCAATAATTTATTGTAATCTGTTTGCAGTTGTTGTTGTGCCAAAGAATATTTTTGAACTTGATCTTTAAGTTCTGCAATTAATGCTTGTTTTTCACTAATCTCATCTCTTAAATCAGCAACCTAATAAAAAAAATGAATTTCAAATAAATATCTAACAATTTTAATCATATCTTGAAAGTATTGAAATAAACTATTATTAATATTATTATTATTATTAATTGTTATTGAAAACTTAATGTAATTAAAACTAGTAACATTTATTCTACAAAATATAAAATTGTTGTAGGCTGTTGTCGGGTAATAACAGTATAAAATATATTAATATTAATATGAATTCTAATTATAATGATGTTAATCATTTTTGTAAACATTATTTTATCTATACCTTAAGTTTTAAGGATAAAATGTGCATAAGTTGGCTATGTAGATTTAAAATATATTTACTTTTATTTAAGTGAAACAGAAGTAAAATAAGAATAAATAATATCAGATCAACATATTGAAAAAATAAAATAACTGAATATACCTAGTTAAGTAAAAAACTGTTTATCACAATTAAAACTGGATATAAACTGTATAGCTTGAAAACTAATATCCAAAAAAAAAAAGATATATTAATATTCAAACATTAAAAATGTCATCCATTCCGTCGACTAACAAAATCACGATATAAAAACAATTACTTAAGTAATATAATCAAATATTGGTTCAATCTAAATTGGTTAATACACTAAAATGTTTCACATTAAGTTTACATAGAACAACACTAAAACATTTATTGATCCTATTCATCTTATAAAAGATGAAAAATAAAAAATGTTTTTAAATTCACTATAGATGATTTAATGCAAATGTTTACTTGTTTATGATGGACATCTCGTAATTGATCCATTTGTGTTTCAAGAGCAGCTCGCATGCTAGTAGCTTTCTCTTTTTCTTCTGCTTTTTCTTTCGATGATGATACAATGTGAACTTGTTCTGAAATTAAAAACGTACGTGGTTATCGTAGTGATTTAGGTTTATTAAAAAAAAAGAACAAATATAGTCGCTATATCTTCACGCCTGTATAGACTATTTTTAAAGGTGCAACTTAAAAAGATGGTACCATTATCAGTGTCTCATAAGATATGTAGTGGCAGTATAACTTTAATAATAATGGCTACTGATAAACAACAGCATCACTGTACGAATGCACTGGGAAATTATTTGACAACCTTACCAGTGATTATCACAGTTAACATTCCTAAGGTCAACACATATTAGCAAACAACAGAAACTATTGAATTATTTATTGCCTAATAAGATTAGATTAGGTCTCATTTCAAGTTTATAATTAAACAAACTAAAATAAAAACATCAATACACAAATTATTCCAAAATATTACTAATGCAATAAAATATTTAATACTTGATGAGGTTTAAAAAGATAGCCGTTAGGTGATCATGAGATGCATGTCGTGCTAACTGAAACTTACACTATACTCTATTCAAAATAAGGACAAACCTCGGTGGCCGGGTTGTGTGCAGGGGCGTGGTTTACTACACGGCAGGTATATAAATTGGTGACTTAGTGGGGATGATAAAAAGGTGTTACCTGACTGCTGCCAACAAAAACTGGTCCCTGCCGAGGTCTACTCCTATTTTGAACCGAGTATAAATGCCTTGCATGTCAAAAACCCAATAACCTAGCCAAGTATCTTAACCAATGTATGTTTCGAATAAAAATAAAAAACATAAAATGACATGGCATGAAACTGCGTTGTACATAGTATGTATACATCAATAGATTAATTATTATATTCACAAAGCACACTTTTCAAATAATCATAAAAGGTTTTAATAAAATGCCTTAAGGATGTTGAAAGCTGGTCGTTTTTTTTGTGCATTTGGACCAATAAGAAAAAGAAATATACTTCCAAAATTTTTAATTTTAAAATGATATTTGAATTTGCTTTCATATTGTCTGTGTTCTTGTTTTATTTTTAATAATAACACTAATGGAAAAGTAAATTTTGAAAAAAAGATTTAAATAGGTACTACATATTAAAAATACGACAAACCAAAAATCCATTTCCTACAAAACTTAGAAAAGAGAATAAGGAATTCAAATATATTTTCAAAATGTGTAACAACATTATGTTATTCAGGCTTTCAGTACCGTGTGAATTGTTCTTTGATTCTTTCACTTTTTGAGACTTTCATAGCCACAGAATTTGAAGCTCTTTTGATCACAAAATGTAGTGCTGTTTGACCGCGCTTATGTACATTACAGATTTCAATGAATCAAAGTTGTAGTTAATCTTTAATTACATAAATCATTCAGAGAACTCACGCACACTAATGACCTATCTCTACACAGTCACTGAGCACTCTCAATGGAAATAGAATATTGCCTTAAACCAACCACTTAAAAATGGTCCGCTTTCAACAGCCTTAAGGCAGTTACAACAAAAATCTTAGGTATTTATTTAAAAGTCTAATAAATACATATCTATGTGCTGTAATAACTTTAATCTATAAGTAAAGTATTTTAAAATAAATACAACTCGTCATACCTGCTGCTTTCATTTTTGCAAACTCTTCTCTCAACGCATCAATATTTTCTTCTAATGTACGTTTCTTATTTTCTGCTTCTCTTAAAGATTCTTGCATAGATTTAAGACGAGCCTCATTTTGTGAGATTTTCAAACGACTTTCACCAAGTTCCTTCTCATAATCACTAACCTAAATTTAGTGAAATAAAATAAATACTAATATTCTATAAAACCAATTGTTAAACACTACTAAACATTACTTTTTTGTTCATATCAGTTTGACTTAATTCGAAGAAATTGCATCGTTGAACTAAATTTTTTACTTCAGATTTCATTTTACTAATATAAAGTCTAGCAACAGTAAATTCTTCATCCAGCTTGCTATTCCCATCACTAATAGCTTGTTGCTTTAATAAATAAATAAAGAAGATCAATTTATATTATGATATTAAACTCTGCTGTCTATAAAAAACAATAGATTGGAAAATCACTTACATTAAGTTCAGCTTCACTTCCAATTGCTGCTCCAATTTCAGCTATATCTTTTAGAAGATTTGATAACATATCTGTTGTACGTTTCTTCTGATGAACGAACATATCTTTTAACTGTTGTAGTTCAGAGGATGTTGAGTTTAAAGATGACTAAAAATAGAATAATATTAGTACATTTTCTATACTATTTATTGATTAATATAGGTAATAAATTTATTTATTTATATACTTCTTTTATTGATAATTCTTCCATAAGAGTCTCGTTTTCTTTATTTTTCACATCAACTTCTTGACTTTTTTGATCGTAATTAACTGCAAGTTCTTCAAGAGCTTGCAGAACTTCTTTCACTTCTTCTTTTGCACTTTCATTCTCTTGAGTAATCCTATGCATTTCTTGTTGTAACTGCTCGTAGTCTCTTTGAGTTGATGTAAGGAGCTATAATATATCAAATTAAAATTTAATACTTTTTCCTTAGTTACATTGACTTAAATTAAAATCTTACTTCTTCCTGTTCCATTATTTGTTCTTTTAATTTTTCTATGTCTTGACTTTGTTGATTTATTTCTTCATCTTTATCGTCTAATTGCTGATATAATGCTTCACGTTCTTCTTCAAGTTTTTGTCTTTCCTCTGTTGACATGGATTCAGTCATTACGCCTCCTGGTATTGCAGGAACTGGACCAACCACTAATTCTATAAACACAATAAATTAATTCATATTTTTATTCAATTTTAATTTTAGAATATAAATATAATGACCAAACTTAATTTATTTAACAAATTATTATGGTTTATTAGTATTATGAACGTGATTCACACAAAAAAGGTAAGCATCACAAATAACTTTCAAATTTATTTATTCTTATTTTATGTGTGTTAGGAAGACTATAAAAATTAAGATTTATTAATACTGATACCTTTTTTAATATCAACTTGGACATTTGGTGTAGATGCTTCCATTGGCTCTTGTAAATTAACTTGTTCATCTTCTTTTACAGTTTCTCCACACCTCCAACTATGCAATTTGAATTAGTTTTATTATTAAAAATAGACATACAAAAAATGTTTTACCGATTAAGTTCAGTCTGTAGTTTATCACACTTGGCTTTATAACGTGTACATTTTTCTTTTTCTTTTTCATAACGTCTTTTCCATTCTTCAGCCGTTAACTCTTCATTGACAGTAATAACATTCTTAATTGTTTTTGCTCTTAAAAGTAAATAAAATAAATGATGTGTTAAATCAACAACTAGAGAATATTAAGCCAATAACTCAGCGATTCCCAACCTAAGGTCATGAAGGTTTTTATAGTGAGTCTCAAGTGCATAATTCACATGTTATTTCAGCACATCTTTGTGAATTTCCAAAAAAGTATTTTTCTAAAATAATTGAATAACAAAAAAAGATTGAGTATGAAAATTGTTATAAATATTATAAATAATCGTTATACTCATTATTTCTATTATTTTATACTTTAATTTAGGTGTTAATAAAATATTTGAATTATGTTTTCAATTTGTTTAGTGATTTTTTATTAGGGTTTAAGACCATTGAATTTAAAATGTTAGTATCGCTCATAAAAGGCTGGGAACCACTGCAGTGAATAACTTACACATCACATACAACAATATTGAATATTAACAACATTGTGTTTATGATAACAGAAATAGATATCATGCAACATGCAGCTAATATCTATTTCACCTTATTGTTATTAGATTCGGCCCACCACCTTTATTGAATTTTACAATTATGTGAAGAATAACAAATGTTTTATTAATTTGTTCATAAAGAGTAAACACACATACACACACACACACACACACACACACACTGTTTAATTTTAAAAATATTTTAATCTATTCCTTTAGAAGTTGTTTAATATGTCTCATATTTAGCCATTTTAAATCACTTATTTAACTACACTAGTTAATTAAGATGTTAACTCAGAGGTATACAAAATTCACCCACCTTCTACCAAAATCTAAGGTTGATTTTGTTTCTGACTCATTGAAAGATGCAGGAGAACAGCAAATTATAATTGTAGTACGAGCATTTCCACCCAATGATTCTTGTAATATACGTGTTAGTTTTGAATCTCGATATGGTATGTGTGTTTTTTTATCTTCGGCCAATGCAGATATTACATTACCCAAAGCTGATAATGATTTGTTAATATTTTTCGCTTCATCTAATACTGTACCTTCTGCACCAGTTTTGCTTACCTTAAGATAATAATAGTTTTATACAAATATGAACAATTTTTTTATTACATTTTGAATGTAATAATTAATATAAATCATTTACTTTTTCACTACCAGCTAAATCTACAAGATAAAGTTTTCCAGATAATTTTTTTTCATTTTCCAAATTTTCCTGCTTCACGTTTATCAAAAACACACTATGACTTCTGGAACTGTGCTCATTCATGTCTAATATTTAAATAAAAATATGAAACTTAAATCTATTCTAATGAGTATTTAATTATCATAAATTTACTTGTCACAGCTATATGTCTGTTGGCTTTGCCTTCTTCAATAACAGCAAATACTTCTTCTGGACTAGAAACAAAACGTTCAGTAGCACCTTTTACGAAAGGAACTCTATTCTTGTCTTCATGAACACTTAAGTTCACTTTTGATACTAAAAACAGTCAATATTGAACAAATTATTTAACCATTTTAATAATTATGAGCAAAAATATCAACATACCATCTAATAAATCTCGAATCTTGTCCATATAAATTTCAAAATAAGACACCTTTATGTGAAACTCCAAATTTTCTTCCATTGCATAAATATGGTTAAATATATCATTGACAATCCGTGGAATAATACCTTGTTTTGATGGATCACCAATGACCCCCTCCATAGTATGTGTTTTACCAGAAGAGGTTTGACCGTATGCAAAAATTGTTCCATTATAACCAGCAAGTACATCTAGTTAAAATTAATTTAAACTTATAAGATACTTAAATACACATGTAACAAAACTACTATGTTTTAATCTCGGTTTTAATGTTAAATTATGCTTGACCCACATAAAATATTGGGCCCCTAAACAAAATTTCCAATAAAATACAATCCATTACAAGAGATACCGGTGTCCCATACACAATATATTGATAATTAATAGTTAACCCATTGCTTAAAATAACAAAATTACTTAATCCCTACTTAAATGCAAAAGTTAGTCTGTCTGTTACACTTTTACTCATATACTGTTGAACCAATGCTTTTAAAATTTGGTACAGTGAAAGATTACATGTTGCAAAAGGACATAAGCTACCATTTGTGGCAAAATAAGGTCAATTAGTGGTGCTCAAACAATGAATTTGAGATTCACTGTGGAAATTGAAAATTTTTATTTGTTAATAAACGGTTACCAATTATAATAGTAATAGTAAAAACCAGTAAAATTTTTTTTGTATATCGGTCGCCATTGGTTAATTGGGTAAATCAGTTCAAGCAAGAATCAAATAGAATTATTTAAATACTTATAACACACAATACATTTTATTTCTAACTCACTGTAAAAAAAAATAAGTTGAAATAAAAACACTACTATATTATAGTAAAAATAAAAAGTTTTACCTGATACAATTGACTTTGCTGCATCACCATAAACTTTATCTTGACTGGCATTTGGCTTGAAGACTTTATCAAATAAATAAACTTTTCCCTAAACATATAATAAAATATAACAATTAGGTATTTGTTAAATATTATTTGACAGCTGACAGTTACACATAACCGACACAACAAATAAGACAATTATTAGAACGACTTTGCTTGTATTTTTTTAAGCTAAATATACGAACAAAGGTAAAATTAAAATAAAAAAATTATTATGACCTATGGTTCTTATTGTAACATCTGGATTAAAGTGGTATTATACTAATCTATCTAACTATAAAGAAATTATAAAAATATAAAATAAAAATTATATATATACGTCATGTACACTCAGTAGCGGATTGAACGAAGAGCCAAGAGGTCAGGCTCTAGAATGTAATTCTACGCCACAATCAAGGGGTGGCAACACCCACTTTGAAAAATTGAGCCTTTCAGCCCGCCACTGTGTACACTTACTATGAATTTTATTTTGTGTAAACAACTAAAACATTTGAAATAAACTTTGAAAAAATATTATTATTACTTTATTATTTTTAAACTAACCAATATTTATTTCAGTCAATAATTAACTTTTTTACTCTCTTCATAAAATTAATAATTTGCTTGTTTAATAAAATGTTGATTCTATATACTATTATTCTATAATTTTATTTTTTTATGCACCTAAAATTAATGTTCAATATAGAAACATTTTTTAAACATGATCAATGAATTACCTAAATGTTTTTAGAAATGTAGAATACTTGAGTGAAAAATATTATACTTAGATGATTACAATTTTATTTTAATAAGAATTTATTAATTTTGTTTAATTTTGTATTATTAAATGAATCCAACTCAAAGAACACTATTTAAATTATGATAAATGTTAGTTAAATAAAATAATACCTACCTAATAAATAAAAATACCTTGTGAAATAAAATAGTTATTTTATACTAACTATTGGTCACCATTATACAGTAAAAATTAAAATGCATGTAAATACTCAAGCTATTAAAAACTTTCAAAAAAAAATTATAATAGTTACTCAAAAATATGAACCTGTAGTTGTGAAAAATTATTATATTATATTTATTTTTTAAAATAATTATTTAGTTAAAATTAGGATCAGTAGCATATGACATATACATATAAGTTATCGTACAAGTACTTGTACCAACCAGTATTGACATGACATTAAGACAAAAAAAAAGGTTTCTGCATTAAATTTTAATGTGGACGCACATGAGCATTTTATCCAAACATAAATATAATATGCCCATAGGTACTCGTCAAATGGTTAATGTGTTGTAATACTTGAACTTGATTATTATACTTCGTTTTTAACTTTAGATACTATATACGGTATGTACATTTTTTAAATAATTATTTACTTGGCTTGGCTTGGAAGAAAGAATGGACACCAGAACCAAATACTCCTGCCACTTTAATCCAAGCTTAAGCTTATCTATACCTAAATTTCCTTAAAATACATCATTGTTTGCATTTAATAATTATATTAATGGCCTTTCTTTTGTTACAAACTCAAATATAATTTATAAGTACTGGGTTTACACTGAAATGTTTAGACTCTTTTAATCTTGTGTCACGATTAATTTTGTAATCCCACCAATCAACTATAGGTATAGTTAATATGGTGTTAAATAACCTGATGCTAATTCAAAATCTAGGTGAAATTATTTATTTTTTTTTTTCATTTGTTTCAATTTCTAAAAAAAATTTTGAGTCTATTATCCTTAAAAAAATTAATTAAAAACTATAAAATAGGCTAATGAAAAAAGTATTTATATATAAGATAAAGTATCTACCTAAGACATTTCCCATCACTGAATGTGATTGTGCGAACAATGAGAACATTTTCAGTAGGAAATAATAAATAGGGTAACTGAAATAGATAACAGGAATTTTGAGCCAAATCCAATAAATGTTTTAAGAATATTTTGCAAATTCCTTCAAAAAAGAGCTAATCTTAAAGTATTTTTAAAAACAAGTAGATAATTAGTATTTACATATACCTACACACATTCAAATATAATGTGTAAATAGAATAATACTTTTATTAAGTACAAAACAGATATTATATTAGAAAATATTCAATTTTAAATTTTATCTTTATATTTAAAGTTCACAAGGTCAGTTTTTTTTTAGAAGTTTGTTAGGGAATAAAATAAAGACAGCTAAAATCACAGTTTTTAATTTTGTTGGCCAAAACAAATAGTTTAAATCGTCAAAGTTGAGTGGTAAAACCAATACTAGGTAATTAAATATTTAAAAAATTCCTTGTATTTCCTAAGATGTTGGTTCTTGAAAGAATCATTCTGTATTTATAATTAATTAATATATTAGGTAACTTTAAATTAATCAAATTTGGTAAGAAGTATATTGAAATATATTTTTAACTTGCCTACATTAAAACACATTCATCATTCATAACAAATAAATAACAGTAGTTTAAGAGATAGTATAAGAGAGTGAATGTTTAAGTAAATTAATTTCTTACCTATTTACTATTGGAGTTGTTACATAATAGGTACCTAGGTATATAGATATATTAATATTATATAAGTATAACTACCTAGCTCTTTTACACTCTAAATTACACAAAGTAAAAATATAGAAACTGCTCCAATTCAAAATATTGGATAGATATTCGATATCAGCATTATTCTAAACAATGGTTAGGTACCTAACCAACCATTAACAAATTTTTTATGCTAAATTGTTCTACTGTTTTAATTATAGGAGCATTACTTATCATTTGCAGTTTTGTCTGTAAACTACTAAATTCTAAAATACTTTAACTAGCACAACCTACCTATATCTGTGCTATATAATCATAATTTTATATTTTCATAGGTAGTACCTACCTATCTTGTATTTTTCTTTAATACCAACCTATTGATAGTTAATTAAATTGGTTAAATTATACATGTACAATATGTAAACTCAATTCATTATCAAATCGTGAAAAAGTTGTTATCATTTTATGAATAGAAGAACCTAAAATTATATATTACATAAAAATTAAATACATGCAAACGTGTAAATTAAAAATGTAAGTTCACAGAACATCTCAAAAACTTAAAAATAAAAGTTGGACATAAATTAAAAAATGATTATATTTTATTGAAATTGTTGTTACTTGATCTTGAGCTTTTAAAATCTAATTGAATATTAAGCTGAAAAACGTACTACTTATGGTTGAATTTACCGAAAAAAAAAAAGGACAATTAATAGTACCCTACCTACATATCTATAGTTTACCGATGAGGAGTATTGGGCAGTAAGCACACATAAAATGGGTTTATCCAAAAGGTTTATTGGTAAACAAAATACTTCTTATGCTGTCAGATTCAAAACTAAAGAATCTATTGAAAAACATTGAAAGCTTTATGAAGTTGATAAAGGTAAGAATGCAAAGGCATTGGTAGGTCGAGTATCGTGTACTTACGCCGATCGTGATGCAGTTTTCATCGGGTCCGGTGGGAAACTTAACGACGAACCTGGACCCTGCTTTTTCTTCGGAATCGTTTAGAGGACGGAAACGACAGACGACTTTGATACTGTCCTCCGCGGCAATTTCTCTCTCGGCTGCCATTGTATCGGATCGCAAACTCAAAAAACGATTGCAACGTAATTACACGTATCACTCGACACTCGTTACCCACGGTTTGCCGGGACAAGGTGCAGATTACGATATCGACGTGAAACGGTTCGTGAGTAGGTGGCGGCCACCCACACCCTTGACGATATGCTAACGCAGTTTATTTTCTTTCTAATTTCTAAAATTCTATTATTGCTTGACGACACGCATCACACTACCGCTGCAGGCAAGACTACGCTATTATTATGACATCTAGCCGTCTATCACTATTATATTATAACAATATCACTTATATCAGACGATTGGGAACGCACGCACCGCATCCGTGTCCGTGTGTGGACGAAATACACGTATAGCCGTACAGGCGCGAGTGTCAGCGGTGGCCGTCGGAGAGCGCGCGACGTGTGTGAGTGGTGCGGGGTGAGGAGTGAGGGGGAGGGGGGCAACGAACGCTCGGCGATAAGCCGATAACGAAAACGGCGAAAAACGTAGAAAACTTTCGTCGGCGGCGGTGAGGGGGTGATGATCGCCGTTCGGTTTGAAAAATAATAATAATAAAATTAAATTGTCGCAAAAATATTACTGTTTACGGCGATGTCCCGTGCGCCGAGCGATCGAGGTTGAGCCACATCGATACGGGTAATAGCTGCTGATATTCCGTGAAACGCTTCTTTTTTTTTTTTTTTTTTATCTTGCAGCCGTTCCGTCTCGGCAGTTGGCACAAAGCAGTCGCGGACACGGTAACCCGTCCGGAACGATACACTCGGTATACGCTCGCGGGGGGTATGGAGGTAACCGTTCCGAGCAGCTGCCAGCAGTGTTGGGCACCTATTATTATTGTTGGTTGGTTAATTGTTCGACGGCGACGATTGCACGGGTGTCGCGGATAGAAGCGCGAGGGCTGGACGACACGGACTGCACGATCTCAATTCTCGAAATATACGTGCCGTGGACACGATCGACGAGTATCGGAGACCGGAGTGTTTATATTAATATTTAATTATGTTAAGGGCAAAGTATACTATCGGGTAATGACGTAATGTATACATTTGCCTGGGCATTATGGTACTGTCCGATCGTGATGATCAGTGATCATCGATGCGGGAAATGTAAACAAAACTACATAGTACATAATATTCATTGTGTGAACGAACTATATAGAATTGACCGGTCTGGCATTGGCACTGTAAACCAAAAGGCTTTTTTCGTTATTATATACAACTATGATTAAATTCGAAATAGGTAGGTAATAAATAATAATTGTAAATCATTTTTATTTTGAAAAAAAAGTTCGGTACTTATGTAGGTATTAAATATTTTATTTATTGAATATTATTCCTTAACAACCTAGGTATTTAGTTAAACTACCTATTATTATTAAAATTACATTTTTCCCTGTCCTCCTAAATTTAAATATTTTTTAATTTCTTTGTTGCTTCTCTTATCGAAATTGATAGATCTGCAGGAGTCAACTAATTTTTCATCGCACGGAGGAAATTTTATTTTGTGTACGCGCCTGGTTACGACTATATTCTAATTACGAATAATACGATTATACAAGTCTTCCAACTTTCTTTCGGTGGTTCTTAATTCCCATCTTATAGGTACAATTGTACTTAACTATCAATTATCATCTTAAACTAAAGTCGAAAATAATCAATCAAAATATTATAATATTTATCATAGTTAATTTTATAATAAAACTCATGTTGACCTGTACTTACATAGTTACATAGCACATGCCACACAACGAAGTTCACTGAGAGCTCGTCAGTTTTCATAAAGATGACGTCACACCCGCATGTGTTGTCTCCGTCTTACACTCGTACGACATAGACAAAACGAGTTTACGCAGTCTGAGTAGAACTCGCTCAATTTTGGTTTTAGAGTAAAAATATCTATTCTAAAATTGAATTGCGACAATATTTCTGAGGGCAAGTGTTTGTTATTTTTTTTTTAAATTAAAATATTGAAAAGTTAAAGGTGTTTTAAAAATATTGACATTCTATTTCTAAATGATATAATAAACGTTATATTGGGTTTAATGGAAAACGCGAAAATTGGCCCTCAAAAATATTATTGAATTTTAAAATAGGTATTTTTACTCTAAAACCAAAATTGAGCGAGTTCTACTCAGACTGCTTAAACTCGTTTTGTCTATGTTGTACGTGTGTAAGACGGAGACAGCTCGTCATGCGGGTATGACGTCCTCTTAACCAATTATCATTTGCCTCGCAGACATGATACAACGGTACAATAATGGTTAGAATGTTAGAACGTCGGACTGCCATAATAATTTGTATAGGCTTCTAAATAAAAATACTAAACCATATTATATAATATGCCACGAAATCGCAGTACGAAAATTATTATGTGGAAGGATTAAGTGATATCGTGTAATCGAAGCAGATGTTGACATATTGTTGTAAGAATATTTTTCTGGGTTGTTATCGTGATTTTAAAAGTATATTATTTAGGACCCCCCGCGGTCTTATTGAATCATACACGCGTAAGCCTATGGTTTGTAGTATTATTTATACTCTTTTTACTACTTTTTTTTTTTTGTACCCAGAGTAGTTATAAAGAATAAAAATACTTCGGAAAATTAATGTTTTTATTTAAAATACTTTCTTTAATTAATATTAATTATTACTACTTATAGTATACTCGAATACGAACAGGTACCTAGTAAATGGGTTTCGTTCTGCTGTACAGTAGATTACAAGTGGGTCACTGTAATAGACTGTGTTAAATTTGAATTTATTGATATAAAATCATTCTACGAAAATCGATTCTGAGGGAAGACAGGTTCATCAGCCTATAATATATAATATAGTGTTTGAAAATTTCATTCAAATTGCCTTTGGTATTATACAATTAAAATGGTATTCAAATTTTTTAAATATTTTAATGTTTAAATGATACAAGTAGGTATACAATATTATACATGTATATTGTTACCTACTGAATTCTTACATAAGAATTAAAAAGAGATAAAAAAATAAATAAATTGTGTTTTTATTTGTGTTAAAAAAAATTTGAATGTTTCACGTTTTTGTGATCTTAAATATAGTAATCTAAATATATTTCGATCTTAAAATGCTTATAAAAATAAATTGTTTATATGTATTTTAAATAAATTTCAACTGTTATAATGCAACAATATAACAGGAGCCTTGTATTAAATGTTCACGTTTTTTTACCCAACAAATAAAATTGTATTGACAATTATACAGAAAAAAAACTAAAAAAATTTAAAACTGACAATTTCGTTAACGGAAACGTGAAATTTTCATGTATTTACAGTTATTCGTCTTTGAATTAGAACAAAATAACAAAACCGCTACATGAGAAATCGATTGAATATAAAAATTTCCAATATAAGTATGTAAACCTAATGTTTAGATTTTTAGACAAATTGTTATGGTAAAAACGTTGTTAAAGTCAAAGTAGTTTAATTTTTACACTATTTTTTGTAGTAAATGAATTTGGAATGTACCAAATAACTTTTCAAAATATTCTTTTTGGGAATTTCCTCATATAGTTATTTCTTAAATTGTTTATTATTCGTGTAATTTTCATAGTTTTTGTCATGCGTTTAACTAGTATCAATTTCTTATTTTTATTTGTAGAGTTTTTCTGTTGCACTCTGTATACCAAGTGCTAAATGTATATAATATTATCTAATCCGCCATGGGTGAGGATTACCTATCTCGGTCCAATTAGTTCACCAAGATATAGTATAATATAATTAATAGACAGTATACACTGCGATGTATAGCACCGTATTTTATTATTGTTAATTTTTTCCGAGCAACTACACCACTCAGATTATATTATACTACCTACAACAGTTTGTATGTTCGAACGCGCTTATCTCAAGAAATAGGAATTACCAGTCCGATTAGCGATTTCAATAGTTAAATTAAGCAATATTCAAAAGATTATGAGTGGGTATTCTGAGAGATATTCGATTAATGTATTGATTTTACAATGATGTGCGTTTTATGTGTATGTGTATACTAGGGTGGCCCTTATTTTTTGATATTGTATTTTTTTCAGTCTTACCCCCTAAATTGGTTCAAATATGTGTACAAATGAAGTATACAAAATTGCATGTCGATAGATTGAGTTTAACCCGTGCCCCCCAGCCCTCAAAGTTCAAATATATGGTTCTGCTCAATTAACCACAGTTTTTTTTTAAATGATTGACTGCTATCTCGTTGTTTCATTTCTTACAAAAATATATCTTTGACATTATTTATAGTAAATTAAATTTTCTATAACTTTTGCTCTATATAGTTTTTTGATTAACTTAATATTTATTAATATAACTGACTATGAAACATGCAAGATTTTGAAAAACGTAACAACTACATAATATTATTACAAAATGACAAATGTATTATATATTTATATATGAAGCACAAATACACGTTTACTTTTTATTAAAAATTAACATCATTGGTTCGACAAAACCAATGAGTAATCAGTAATTACTAATTACATTTGTTAACATTTATATTTTAAAGTATACAAATAAAAATAATTAAAATGGTTCTATAACTGTGCTTTTTAAACTATTCGGGTATTTACGGCGAATATAATCTTCGACAACTTGAAGAACGTATTGTTTTTGATCTTCATTTTTAAACATAATAATAGGTACCTATTTTTCAAAATAATCGAAAAAAAACAAAAAAGATCTGTGTAGGTACTATTATAATATTATATAGATAGGTAACCCTAAAAATTACACTTTTAATGATGCACAGAAAAACCGAATTTAATATTTTTGGAGGGAGGTTTGATTAAGAATTAGTAAAACATGAAAGTAAACTATAGTCTTTTTTCCCTAAAAATTATAAGAAAAAAAATATGTTACTGAAAATGTGGTGTACCTATTTTATTATTTTCCCTGGGTGTAAAAGTCCCATGATCCGATCCTGCCTAATGTGCAGCATACCTATTTGCTCACTTTTAAGTTAGTTTTC